TTTGGAAGACATACCGAGTTAACGCCATTGGGTCCCTGTCTCCAAGAGTCCAATGCCATTACATGATGACCCTGGTCCATTGACAAACGGAAGCCCGCCGCTCACTTGTCTTTGCGTGTCTGCCGCCATGCCACGCCATGCCTTGCCATGGCTCATAGTTTTTTTTTTTCTTCAGTAGGCCGCAGGGCGCGCGACGCAAGAGAGCTTCAAGCGAGGAAGCGAAGCGACTGGTAGCTCCAGCCTCCAGGACCGGCCCATGACATCGTCTCCAGCACACCATCCATCACAACCTCTGGGGCACGGGGTGGTGGTCAGAGTGAAGTTCAACGGCGGGGCACATTTGTGCCTTGACTCCACGGTAGCGAAGGGGTGTGTGTCTATATACGAAGAAAAGGGTACAACTGAGTACAAGGAGGATCAATGTACGCGGGCATGGTCGACGTTGAAGGGGGGCCTCACTCTTCACCCCTCCATCACTGAGGTGGCCTGCGGCGAAACGCCGAGACCTCGGGCCAGAAGGGTTCCCAGGCCAGGGTAGGTAGGCGACGAAATGCTCCGAAGAAAATTTGAGTTTCACAGCCTGTGCCACCCTTCAGAATAGATCTGATAACCAAAAGGGCGTTGGGGTTGATGGAAACGGGGTTCGTGGCGGTCGTCCCTCGTAGTTGATGTATTGCCGTCAATTGCGTGCGTGGCGCCCACTAGGTAGGTACCTACGTAGTATAAGGGTACCGGCTTTTTTCCCCTTCTTTTTTTTCTTCCTCCAAGGAAGGTGGCTGCACCGACCTGGTCTTAGCGGATCTGATAACTTTATTAGAACCAAGTTCGGCCATAGCTCCGGCCTCGGAGCTTTGAGGACCCACTCAAAGCCGACCGGTGGCCGCCTCAAGCTGGATGATGGATCTGATAAGATCAAGGCAAAATTTTTCTCACTGGCGGGGCAGCGGGAGTGGACTTACGGATACACTAAGGCTGGTTTCGATACTTGCAGCATGGTTCACTGCTTCAACATCCCGAACCTACCCGTGGATCCCATCATCTCATCGTTCAAGAGGGCGTGTGTGTAGAAACAGGTAGCTCGCGTGGGGTCGCCTTCGGTCCAAGTGGCCTGTTTGGGCAGATCCTTGGTAAAAAAGACGCACCTCTTTAGATCAGGGTACGTGACTCTCTTCGTCTCCACTACCTCCCATCCCCTGCCACACCTGCTTGAGAATCGGAACGCCAGTGCTTCAGCTCACTCGCAAGTTGTGAGGATTCATCCGTGTGCCTCGATGCTTCTTCTTTTCGTCGGTTCTTGAGCCGTTCTTCGATCGGGGCCTCCCCCGCCTGCCAAGTCACATCTGCCGCCCGTCAACCGCGCCGTTCCCGCTCTGAGGCGAGCTGCGCCGCCGGCTCTGGACTTGCTTTGAATATTCGTGATGCTCTTCAGAAGTTCAGACGGTCATGGTATTCGTGAACACGCCTGCACAATACGGGGTTGCTCCGACCGGTTGTCCACCCACGTCCCACAGGTAGCTGCACCTGTTGTCCACAACAGCTCCATGCCTACAATCCACTATGGGATAGCTCAACTCCACAGAGATTGATAACTTGGTCTGCCGCCACGCGATTCAGAATGTGGCATCGTACTCGTTTCTCGGCCAAGGCGCTTTCGTAATGGGGTTCAAGTGGGCTAGGTAATAGCGTCGTTGATCTCAAGCCATCGAGCGGTACTTTGGCAAGCTTGTGCAAGCCTTCGTACCAGATCGACGAAAGCCGGTTCGTCTTCCTGCACGTCGATGGCTGAGACTTTCTGCAGCTCTTGCACTGGACCTGCAACAAGTCCCTTGCGGCAATTGACGCTCCGGACCGATGTGCGCCACCCAGATCATCGTTAACGCCGACCGTCAAATTCCGTCAACGCCTGGGAGAGTCCCCTGTTTTTGTTAGGAATTGCTGATTGTTCCACGTCGAATGGCATTCGTTCCGACAAGTCTTCTCTCGGGTCTTCGGGACACGCCGTCGTATCCTGTGTCCAGTTGTCCACACAGTGCCATAGAGAATGTCGTATTGCATTCTGTCGAGTCGATGCATTGTGCCGTCTCGTTCGTCTGATATCATTATGGCCCCCGCCGATGGTCCCAGATGATGATGTGTCTGTGTGTCTGACTCTGGGGCATTTCCGAGTCGATGGAAACTTGCGCATCCCCTTCAAGGTTAAAAGTTTCCTCGGGATCCGGATCCCGGAGTCCGGACGGATAGTCGCGCCGAGACGACCACACGATGGGAGAGCCCCATTGATGAGATCTGCGGACAAGTCGTTACTTGCAATGGTAGCCTTATGGGTTCTTGGCGAATGAAGATGAACACCGTTGAGCATATCCATGAAGATTAAGTGAGAAGTCAAGGGGTCGAGCAGGTCGCTCACGAAGAAGGCCTACTTGAACAGAGCGTAAGAAACGTGCCGACAGAACCTACCTTGATTTACTTACCTTCCATTTGGTCATCAGCTTTATGAGCAGAAGCCACCTAACATCTGAGATAGGTGCAAACTATCTCAAAGTACCCAGACAAGATACCCACCAAGTAGGTGAGATGCTCTGCTGCTATTTATCCTTAGGACTTCTTCAGTGAAATATCGTGATTAAGAGAAGGATCAGATATAGGCGGTTCCGGGGTGTGTAAGTCACTCCCACGATAGCTGTAGATAACTCAACGCCGCATGTCTCCCTCCCCTTTCAGGGTGACTGTCGCCAGTAACTGTATTGTTACGATACTTGCCTCCATGATATCATGGGATCTATCCGACCCTACCTCTGGCACATTGTCTAGCCAGCCTCTACCAATCCATTTTAACTCTCACGATATGCATCCCCTTTACGAACCCTGGTGGACATTGGGACACTTACCAGGTTCTTTTGAAATAGATCATGTGATACTTATTCAGAACATGACTTTGAGCGTCTCATCTCTGTAGACGTCAAGCAGACCAAAAAAAAATCCAGCTTAAAGGCGATTGCCGATAGAGCGGAATTTCATTATCCGGAACGGCCATGACAGTCAAGGCGCGTTCGACATCGTTACTTGGTATCATCTCTGGGCATCGTTGCTTAATATTGTACGAAACACTCTGAACGCGTACTCATTCTTCGCGTTTGATATGATTTCTCCAATATCGCGTCACGTTTGATCGAACAACACGTTCAACGCTCCATAACAACCCAAACAGCATCCATGGTCTCAACCCTCCCACCACCCTTCTTCACCTCCTCAACCGCATCCCGAATCTCCCTCACGTATCCCAACAACTCTTCCTCCTCATCCTTCCCTAACCCCTCGGCGACAACCTCCTCAGCCCACGACGCATCAACTACGGCCCCAACCTCCCATGCCCCATCCAACAACCCAGGCGTATCAACAACACCCCTCTCCCGAACCTTCCACCCAGCCCCCTCCGCCAACTTCACAATCTCCTCAGGCGCAAGCGCGCCGCGGACGTTGCCCTGGTCCAGGCTAAACCCCTTCTCCGCGCCAGCCCGCAGCGCATAAAACCGCTTCTGCGCCGCGACGGCCAGTTCGTGCGGTTTCTGCGCGGGGGTCCGGGCTTTGAGTGCGTATTCTGCGAAACAGAGCTTGGAGACGTTGGGCTTGTAGAGGACTTTGAAGAGGGAGGTGATTGCGGCGCCGGAGGGGAAGTACCACAGCGAATGACAGAGCGTAGCGGCGTCAAAGGCTGAGGAGGGGTGCGATGCGAGGTAGGTCGGCGCGTCGGACTGGTGGAAGGTGATTGCTGCGCCGTGGGGGGAGGAGGAGATGTGGGATTGGGATTGGGCGAGGGTGTAGGGGCTGCCGTAGTCGCCGGGGGCCGGGTCTAGGGCCGTGACGTGGCCGGCCTGGCCCGGGCCCGGGCTGGCGTTGTTGGCGTCACCATCGGCGGTGGTGGAGAGTGGGGCTACGGCTTGGGAAAGGACGAGGGCGGAGTCGCCTTGGCCGCAGCCGATGTCGAGGACGCGGCTGCCGGGGGCGATGGACCAGAGGGAGGCGAGGCGGAGGCGGTGGGTGAGTTGCGGGAGGAGGACTTTGTGTAAGTGGGCTGGATCGTGAGGATAGGATTTTGCGAGGGAGAGGAGGAGAGGAGAGGGGGATGGCGGTTGGGCGTTTGGCTCGTGGTTGGATTGAGACATTGTAGTGAAGTGATTGTGGTTGTTCCCTCTTCTTGTTGGACGAAGTTTGTTGAATGTTAGCTTAGTTGCAATTTTGGACGGGAATAGGTTGGGTGAATTGAGGAATTGGCTACTGATGTGTTGGCGGTGTTTTGATCGTGGTTTTCATTGAAGCTGGATTCCGGTCACTTATATCCAGCATTCAGATCCGTACCTTTGCGCACATCTACTTGTCACAATAGTCCCCTTACTCAATCGAGATCACTAATTTGACCCGAGTGAGTCTTACAATAAAACCAGATGAACAATCCACGGCAATATGAAAATTCCCGACCTTCCTGAATGAGATCAAAAAAGAGGGTTGAAAATGAGTCACATCCTCACAGACGATTGTAGTCGAATTTGGCCTCAATTGAAGGATTCGATTTTTGGCCTCACTTATGTGGGTTCGCCCCAAACCATCGGGTTTCTCATCACGCAATCGCGATTTTGGATGCTAAGCCTTGATCGGGGTAAGCATACTCCCAGTAAACGCGATTCTCAAAGGGGGCCGAATGTGACGAAAGGCAATTAGCCTTTGAGAATACAGATAAAAAAACAAAGTTTGAGCCTTTGAGGATGACTTGCACAAGCTAAATCCACATTGTGACGAGAAGAAAAGTCAATTCAACGACACGTTCAGTAATCCTACGGGTCTAAAAAAATCTAAGCCAAATTCCAAAACCCCAAAAGACAGAAGCCATCGCCTGACATGAAATAGTAACAACGAAAATGGTCAAAAGACAACTTTTGTGTGGTATCACTCATTGAACACACTCCACGCCGTCCTCGGCAAGGTATCCTACGAGGACCGCAATCTTACAACTTGGCAGAGACGGTTCTGCTCTTCTTGAGAATCTCGTCGCCCACCTTGGCAATCTCAAACTTGCGCACCTTGCCGCTGCCCGTGAGGGGCACGTTGGCCGGCACGCCGTCCTCACCGAGCCAGAAAATGTGCGCAGGGCTCTTGTGGCCGCCGAGGCGCTGGCGGACCCAGTCCTTGAGCTCCTGGAATGAAGGCTTGTCCGCGTTCTCGGCGCGCTGCACAAAGGCACCGACGACCTCGCCGTAGTGCTCGTCCTTGAGGCCGACGACGATGGCCTGGGAGATGGACGGATGGGCCATGAGGCGCTCTTCAATCTCGAGCGGGTAGATGTTCTCGCCACCTGAGGGGAGAAAGTTGTGTTAGTACATTATGCTGTTGTTGCGTGACGGACATTTATAGCTTACCTCGGATGATGATGTCCTTGAAGCGGCCGGTGATTGAGCAGTATCCGGCGTCGTCAAAGACGGCCTCGTCACCAGTGTGCAGCCACAAGACACCTGCAGAGTCACGGACCATGACCTCGTTGGTCTTCTCCGAGTTATTCCAGTAGCCAGCCTGCAGCTGGTACCCGGCCATGCAAAGCTCTCCGCGCTGGCCCATGGGCACAACGTTGCCGTCTCTGTCGACAATCTTGGCCGAGGCATGGGGCATGAGCGTACCGACGGTGGTCAGTCTCTTACCCAAGGCATCGTCGGTGAAGGCGTTGAAGCAGGTAGGCGATGCCTCGGTCAGACCGTAACTGCTGGTGAACTCTCTCATACCGAGACGGTTGACCATCAACTCCATCAGATATCTGGGGACAGGGGCGCCGGCCACAATTCCGGTGCGGATCTTGGATGACTTGAAGTCATCAGGTGCTGCCTGGAACAGGGAATCGAACATGGCAGGCACGCCGTGGAGTGCTGTGCAGTCCTCCTCGAGAATGGCCTTGAGTGTCGCCTTGGTGTCGAAAACTTCCGCGGGGTAAACAATCTTGGCACCGTGCGTGATGACAGACAAGAGGCCGAGGACAAGACCGAAGCAGTGGAACAGAGGGGGAGGGCAGCACAGCACGTCGTCCGGGGTGAGGCGCATGCGATCACCAATGAAACGAGCGTTGTTAACGACGTTGCTGAATCCAAAGTTAGCCTCTTCGACCTCCTCTATCAGCTTGATCGCACTTACTGATGGGTAAGCATGGCGGCCTTGGGACGGCCAGTGGTACCACTGGTGAACTGGAGGTTGCATACTTGATGCGGCACCACCTTGCTCATGGCCAGGTGAAGCTCTCTCGGGCTCTGCCTTGAGCTCGACTTGATGAGGTCGTCGTATGTCTGATATCCGCTCGTGTCGCCCCGAATCATGACAATCTTGGGCCCGTTGATCTTGTTCGCTATTTGGCTCAAGAACTTGGTGTTGTCGAGTCTGCCAATCTGCTTGGTGGTGAAGAGAATCTTGCATTCTGAATAACGGAGTTAGCTCGGAAATCAGCAACTGTTAGACTGGTAACTAACCTGAGAACTCAACAGCGTACATGGCCTCGCTGGGAGTGTACGTGTTGTTCAGAATAACGAGAATAGCACCGATTCTAGAGACTGCAAAGAAGATGGCGGCGTATTGCTCGCAGTTGCCTGCCATAACACCGACTCTGTCACCGGCCTTGATGCCCATCTCGAGTAGGGCCTGCGCGAGCAGCAAGCTCTGCTGGTTGAGCTCATTGTAGGTCCAACGTGCACCGGTCCAAGGAATCACCAAGCATTCCTTGGTGCCGTGTTGGTAGGTCTGGAGCTCCAGCAGCTCGCCGAGACTGAGGTCAACCAGAGGAGGATCGCGGGGTCCGTGGAGGATAGATAGCTTCTGAGTGGGAGCCAAAGGCTCGGATACTGGGGTTGTTGATGCTTCTGCGGCCATTGTGTCGACAAATAATTACTGAATAAATGCTTCAATTGCTTAACGAAATTACTACGGAAGACAAATTGAACGTCTTGGTCTTGGTCGAAATGTTTGTCTATGGCAGGTCCAAAAAAGTCACCGCGATCTAGGTGCAACGCCGGCCATCCTCTCGGGTCGCATGGCAGAAATAACTGGCCTGGGTCCAGATGGCAGAGACGACCCATGTCTAAAGGGCCCTGCATCTGCGTCACCGAGGAACGGCTTTCGGGGATCATCTGGATCCAGCAAGGAGGCAAGCCGCAAGCGAGGTCTCTTCACCCCCCGCTGCCGCTGGGCTGGGCTTTAGCCCGTTAAGGTGTTGGCCGTGCTGCTTTGCCGGCCACCAAGATGGGGCGCCACACAGCGGGACGTTGCGAACTTGCACGCAAGTAATCGTACGGCGCAGAACCTTAGCTGGGATTGCTTCTTTTCTTCCTTGGAGGTTTTCACCTTGCCCTGCGTGTATGTAGCCAGCGACGGGCTAGACCGAACGGGCAATTGTTTCACGACAAGTACCTGGAGTATTCTCGAGTATTCCCAGTATTGAGGGGCGTATACGAACGGTCGAAAAGGCTACTCGCGTCATGACAGGGCGACTCGATTGGCGATGCGAGGACACACATAGTGACACATCGAAACGAGCAGATGGGTTCGACGGAGCCACGAGACTTGTTAGGAACTGTGTGCTTGCCAGCGAGCGGACTTTGTCACTTTGTCACGTACTCGTGTGTATTCGGCGGGCTGACAACGAGTCTAGAGCGTGGGAGGAGTGGGATCGCGATGGATCATACGTGTGGGTGTGTCAGAGTAAGGTCCAAGGTCCCAGGATGCTCTTGAGTCTTGAAAAAGTTGACATGTGTGATTGCATTGAATGTGGAGGAACTTAGGGTCGTGTCTCAAATTGGTCAATGGCGTTTGCAGCTCCTTCCCCTCCATCGCCAGTTGCGCCGGGACTGCAGCGGTGCAGCCACTCAGAAAATAGTGAGACCCCACATGGCAGCCAAAGGGACCCCGCTGTACCCGCCACCATCCCCTGTCACCACCTCGGATAGGTTCAGTGCTCGATCTAATCAATCAAATCTTGGATCAGATAAGATTAGGGAAGGAGCATTTCACTCACCTTCTTCAGCGTGCAAAATTTTCTCTCGCTTCCATCCATCCTTCCTCAGCTTCCCGCATCGTCTGAGGTACCTCCCCAAGCTTCCCCTACAGGGCACCCGTGGTACAGAGTCACTGGACCCCTCCTTCCACATTTTCTCCAGTACCGCACCAAGAAAAGGTACAGAGAATCCGTACCGACATACGTACCCATGTACCTTCGTTCCCCGAAAATGTCCCGCTGCATTTCTTTCCCTCACACCCTCCCAGTCACCCCTTCTCCGACTTCGGGACAATTCTTCAGATTCCATCATCCTTGAAGATTAACTCCACGCCAATCCACCGATCGCCGTTCACTCGCCTCGCCAAAGACGTCAGGTTGCATTTGCCCACCCCCCTTCTTCATCCACCTTCTAACCTTGGGACCGATGTGGGCAGATGGGCAGGAAACAAGTCGTCAGTATCGGTACCTCTGCCTCTAGCGCCTCTGTCTCTCTCACGCCATGATTCCATCTGATACTGGACCATCGCGGCATCGTCCATCACCCTTCACCTTAACCCATCAACCCCCTCCCTTACCCGACCCCGTGAACCACGGTACCACCCCCTCATCCCGTTTCCTCCCACTTGCAGTCGTCGGGTGCGGTGTGGCGCGTCCCTCGGCCACGCAGGGTGAAAGACCAAGCGACTTCTATTTTTCATGCGAGCAAGGGCACGGTTAATATTTCGTCAAATACAATACAAAGCCAAGCCAAGCCATGCACCATCGCACAATAATCCAGGTACAGACAACCTTCCTTTCTTTCAGATTGACTTGCAGATTTGCCTCGTCTTGGCTTCGTCTTGGCACTTTGCTTCCTGGGCGCTTTTTGTCTTGGCGCTTCCAGAACATCCAACATCTACCTTTAGTCTATGACACTCATTGAGTCGTTACACAGGATCCATCCTCCAAGACTCCCAAAAGGTAAGATCTGATAATCCTGCTGACATCGCAGATTCCACGTCCAAAAGCGTACGGGTACTGCGTCCAGCCAGCCAACACAGCCACACGAAAGAGAAGAAAAGCTTATTGGAAAGACGGGTATCCTTGAGCACGCCACTCTTCGAAAGTCAAACCCTTGGCGGCAGACGGCATCTTTACCATCAGAGGAACTTCAACGTCCTTATCCTTGCCCACCAGCCCTCCGCGGTGCACGATCTTGTCTTGGAGCACTTCAAAACCCAGGCGTTTGTAGAGGCCGAATCCTTCTTCAGACGACTCGAGGTAGACGGGAAGTCCCGCCAGCTCGGCCATATCGAGGCCCCATTTCGTCAAAAGGGCGCCTACGCCTTTTCTTTGGTGTTCAGGCTTCACTGCAATGATATGACAGTCTGTTCCCGGGGAAAACGCAAAAGCGTGTGTCATCAGCAACTGGGGTTCACATGGTGTGTCTCGAAAAGCCTGAAGAAACAAAAAAGGCGCGAACCGGGTGCAAGGGGAAGGGATCGGGAAAAGGAGGACGTGGGATTTCACGGCGGGTCCCACTCACAAACGTATTTTCGGCCAGCCCAAAGCTTTTCTTTGGCTGCGCTGAGCGGGTTGATTAACTCATCGGCGCGAGCTCTCTGCTCGCCTTGGAGCCAAACGGCGCCAGGGCTCCTGTACTCCTCTGGTGTGCGCTCCTTGAGAAATGCGTCCCAAAGGGCCATGCCGACGACCTCGCCAGTCTCGACATCAACGCACTTGATGGTGTACTGGGTGCTGGTCTTGTGCCAGTACTCGACAGTGTGTTTCGTATGACCCTCACGGAAAGCCTCGTCAATCCCCGTCGGAAACAGGATGTCGAGGATTACCGACCCCTTGAAGGCCGCAAAATAGGCATCGTACACCTGGGGGATGTCGGGGATTAAAGCGGGTAGAACGGTGAGGCCCATGGCGTCTGAGTGAAAGCCGAGAAAGGGCAAAAATAACAGGGCAAGAATTGGCGAGTCTGGTTGTTCGCGAGCAACAGTCTGACTTGACTGAATTCGCGGTAGTCTGGCTGGTTGGTAGCACCGTCTGTCGCTGGTTGTCTTGCGATCCTGAGGTCTCTCTGCGTATGTCTGCGTCTGTGAAGCTGTTCCGAAGTGGGATAGATGGCGTTCTATGGTTCGTTCGCAACAAGAAAAGTGCGTTCGTTTTTGCTAATTGTGCGTCAACGGCAGCGAAGGCCAAACAAATCAATGACAAACGATAGGTCGGAAATATCGGTGCAAGCAACGCAGCAGGACGGAACTTTTTTGCCGGGTCACCACAGTGCGTTGGTGGTGTGAGTATTTAGGCTGGGGATTCGTCTGAAGACTTTTCCCTCACGGAACTGGAGCAGCTCCGAGCAGGTCGGTCCCGAAGACCGGCTCGATATCCTCAAGGACGCAAGGAGATGACGGACTGACGTGCCAAGCACTGTGATCACACAAAATACCACGGGGGTTGACGCGGCAGTTCTCGGTAATCCCTGAAGGGGATCGTAAGGAAATGCCGCAACCGTTGGGAGCTTCCGCTGCCAGCGGCACCGTAGCGGGAGAGCCCAAGAAGGGAACTAAACAGCGTTGCCCTTCATGGATAATGGGCTTGATGAGCGCTTACTGGATGACGCGGAGCCGTTATACCCATCTTGAGTAGGAACCATCTGCCCGTTAACCCCATGTGTGTGTGGCAGTGTGCGCCTACCTATCTCAGCCAAGGGCCCGATTTCTCTCACACTTCACAGTAGAAGTGTGTTAAAAGGCCCAATTTCCTCCTATACTATACTAAGTAGAGTAGTAAGTGCTACGTTGGGCTTGGTTTCGGCTCTCCCCCTCCCCTCCACATGTGAGGCGGGCACCACTTGTCGAGATTGAGGAAGAGGTCACGGCATGCATGACCCATCATAAATCTGTTCGTCACATCCTGGGAGAGTGGGAGTGGGAGATGGACGCGTTAAAGTTATCAGATCCGCGTCTCTCGAGCCGGCGCTTTTTCTCTTTGCGTGTGTCACCGTCAGGCGAGGCCGCGAGACAGCAAACCCACCCTGTTTGTGCCAATTAGTGGATAACTTGAGCATGAGAGGATGGCGGATAATAATTGAAGAGTCTGGCAACTTGAGGGAAAAAATTCTGCTGCAGAAATGAGGGCCGATGTCCTCCCGGCTCTCGCCTCAGGCCTGCCGGCCCACAAGCGGGACACGCCCCCTTGGCGCTCCTAATCAGATCCGTCTTTGAGGCCCCACACCCCCGGCCAGGTACCGGTCAGGTATCTTTGTACCTCGCACCCTCCCAGCTCCCAGCTCCCCCCCAAGCTCTTGCTTCGCTTCTCTTTTTCGTAAGGTCGCATCGGAGGAAGGACCCACGACATCATCACACGCCCCTCCCCTCCCACTTCAACCCCCTTGCCTCTCTCTCTTTTTTTCCCTCCTTCACTCCTCCCAGTAGTGTACCTTTTTTCCCTCCCGTCCAGAACCACGAGAACGTATGATGAGATGGCGCCTTAGCTCAAGGGGACCCGTCATGAAACTCTTGCCTCATTGGTGCTGCGAGGGTGTGCTCAACTCGTTCGCATCTGACGTCCCTCACTCTCTCTCTCTCTCTGTGGCTCTCCCAAAGTTCCCAGAACGCTGACTTTGTGGTACAGTCGCAATAGCTCTGCATGCAGCATACCTATGCTAGGTTCCTTTGGTGGTTCCTAGGTTGTTTAGTCAGGCCCATTCGTTCGCGCCGAAGTCGAGTTGGCCGGAATCAACGACCAGTATTCGTACCAGCGTACCAGATACTCCGTTCTTTCACACACACATACGGGCACAAAGTCACACATTACACAACCCATTTCTGCTATACCCACCCGGACGGCTCCATGGATTAGGCACGTTGCGCCGTTGTGGCTCGCATCTGCCCTTCCCATCAATGAGCATCGCAAGAAACTGACTGGTGTGTCTGGTGGTTCCCGGGGCGAGAAACAATATGCACGCCCTTTCTCTTTCACAGGCTTTTTTTTCCCGCTTTACCCTCCTCCGCTTGCTCTCCGCAGCGGCAGCGCAGTCCATTCATGATCCAGCTCGGTCTGCGAGGAGACGTAGCTCGGCTGCAGCGCCGCCGCAAGGTACATACCGCAGTACCCAGCCATGGGGTTCGTCGATCTAATCAAGAAGTCGGGAAGCCATGTATGTTTCTCGGGTAGTCTTCATGCAAGGATACCTGCCGGACAGACCTGCAGAGTCGCACACATAAGAGCCTCTCGCGGTTACTGTGAGTATACAAGACTCCTCTGAGTCTTGGTGCATGTCTACGAAGTACTGCGTATGTGTGAGTGAAAGGGCAGCTCTCCACCCTTGGGCCGGTTGATCGTCCTCGTCAGACAAAAATCCAAACATCTTTCTTCAACAAGTCTCAAACCAGACGTCGTTTTGCAGAAGAAACCAGACGAAGCCATCGTTGTCCAAAGGCTTGTGAAATGCTGCGAGTTCAACCTCGAATTACTTCATAACGCTCGTTAACTTTACCCCTCCATCCTCCTCTTCCTTGCCACCACTCACTTCTCTTCGATACCCCCTCCTCCCCCTCCGGAAGTAAACAGAAATCAAACACACGATGCATTTGCGAGACAGCGAAGGCGGCGGAACCGCCTACCAAGAAACAGGCCTCACTGACGGCGCAACGAACGGCTTGACCAACGGCAACAATACCGTGAACCCCTCTTCAACGAGGACCGTCGTCGTGACATCGCGGGCCGAATCCACCACCACCACCGCCGCCGGTGTAAGCGACTTTAGACATGAGCTCCTTCTTGCATGGCTGCTCGTCCTCCACCGCAACAACGACGACGGCCTGAGCAAGGTGAACTGGGGATTCAGAACACGGGACGGCCAGGAACCGTCGTCGGCGACACACAACAGCCTGAGCCTGAGCGAGGCGCCGTTCAAGAACAGCGACTCGATAGCAGAGGCCTTGGAGGTCATCAAGGGCCTCGGCGAGAGCGGTCTCGAGAGTGAAACGCAGACCATCCCGGTGATATACTTTAACAATGGAGCACCCAAATCTCAGGGCAACTCTGAGAAGGCTCCCTCCAAGAGATCACAAGACGTACGTAGACGACCCTCTTTCGTGATACGTTGTATCCTAATATACAACATTCACTTCAACATGCTGACTCCGGAACCCAGTGGACATACCAGATCGAGGCGACGCTCAACGAGAACCAGCTGGTGATCAAGGCCCAATGGGACCGGGCCGTCCTCTCCTACCGCCACGCCATCTTCCAGCTCGACTCCTTCGTCGAGATCCTCACCACTATCCTCGAGAAGCCCTACCGTCAGGTCTCGGACACAATCGGTCCCACCGCAAAGGACCTCGAGCAGCTCTGGACATGGAACGCCGAGCTGCCCGAGAACATGCAAAAGTGCATGCAGGACATCATCTCCGAGGTCGCGGCCAAGGGACCCGAAAGGCCGGCTGTCGAGTCCTGGGACGGTAACTTCTCCTACGGCGACGTCGACCGCCTCTCCACCCGCCTCGCGCGCCACCTCGTCGCCCGCGGCGTCACCGTCGGCTCCACGGTGCCAATGTGCTTCGAAAAGTCCCGCTGGACCACCGTCGCCCTCCTGGCCGTCATGAAAGCCGGCGCCGCCTTCGCCCTCACGGACCCGTCCCAGCCCGAGGCCCGCCTCCGCACCATCGTCGAGCAGACCGGCGCCACCATCATCGTCACCTCCCAGAACCAGAGCGACCTCGGCCGGCGCATCGCGCCCGAGCAGACCCTCGTCGTCGCCTCGGACGACACCCTCAACAATGATACCCTCGAGCTCGCCGCCGAGCTGCCCGTCGTCCCGCCCTCGTCCCCGCTCTACATCCAGTTCACCTCCGGCAGCACGGGCAAGCCAAAGGGCGTCATGATCTCCCACGAAAACTTCACCAGCGGCGCCGTGCCCCGCGGCTGGGAGGTCGGCTACCGCGCCCACTCGCGCTGCTTCGACTTTGCCTCGTACGCCTTTGACGTCAGCATCGATTGCATGCTCTGCACGCTCGCCGCCGGCGGCTGCCTCTGCATCGCCTCGGACGAGGACCGCATGAACGACCTCAGCGGCGCCATCCGCAACTCAAAGTGCAACATGGCGCACATGACCCCCTCCGTCGCCCGCGTTCTCGACGCAGACGTCATCCCTTCTCTCGAGGTCCTCGGTCTCGGAGGTGAAGCCGTTTCTGCGGGCGACGCCTCGACGTGGAGCAAGACCACGAGCGTCATCATCGCCTACGGACCCTCAGAGTGCACCGTCGGCTGCACAATCAACGGCAACGTCAGCAGCACCTCCACCAACATCGGCAAGGGCACCGGCGGCCTCACCTGGATCGTCGACCCGGACGACCACGAGCGCCTGATGCCCGTCGGCGCCGTCGGCGAGCTCCTCATCGAGGGCCCCGTCGTTGGCATGGGCTACCTCAACGACAAGGCCAAGACGGACGAGGTCTTCATCGAGGACCCGGCCTGGCTGCTCGCCGGCGGCGGCCCCGCCCGCGGCAGACACGGACGCCTGTACAAGACGGGCGACCTGGTCCGCTACGACCCGGATGGCACGGGTTCCATTGCCTTCGTCGGCCGCAAGGACCAGCAGGTCAAGCTCCGCGGTCAACGCATCGAGCTGGCCGAGGTCGAGCACCACCTCCGGGGCAAGATGCCCTCGGGCGTCAAGATTGTCGCCGAGGTCATCAAGCCCGGCGGCAGCGAGCCCACGCTCGTCGCCTTCGTCGTCGAGCAGAACCCCGTTGACGGTCCCGCGGATCCTGAGAGCGGCGACGTTACCACCTTCTCCCCCGAGTTCAGCCAGGCCATCGCCGAGATCGACATTGCCCTCGGCGCCGAGATCCCCCGCTACATGGTCCCCTCGGCCTACATCCCCCTCCGCAAGATGCCCTCCCTGGTCTCGGGCAAGATCGACCGCAAGCGCCTGCGCGAGCTCGGGGGCTCCATGTCCCGCGAGCAAGTCGCCCGCCTGCGCGTCGCGCCCACCGAGAAATCGGAGCCCGAGACGGAGATGGAGAAGGCGCTGCAGCAGGTCTGGATCAAGATTCTGGCCAGCGAGTCCGCCGCCGCCATCGGTCTGCACGACAGCTTCTTCGCCCTCGGCGGAGACTCTCTCCGCGCCATGAAGCTCGTCGCTGCCGCGAGAGAGGACGGCATCGCTCTGACTGTCGCAACCATCTTCAACTTCCCCACGCTCAAGGCCATGGCTGAGAACGCGACCAAGGTGTCCAAGGAAGACGACGCCGCCGTCGCGCCCTTCTCCCTCCTCGAGGAAGGATGGACCCCCGAGGAGGCCCGCGCCGAGTCCGCCAAGCTCTGCGGTATCGACGAGTCCGCCATCGAGGACATTTACCCCTGCACGCCCCTCCAAGAGGGTCTCATGGCTCTGTCGGCCAAGGTCACCTCGGCGTACGTCGCGCAGAGAGTCGTCGACCTCGCGGACGCGGCGACGGCAGACAAGCTCCGCAACGCCTTCGACGTCGCCGCCGCGGACTGCGCCATCCTCCGCACGAGAATCGTCCAGGTGCCGGGCCGCGGCCTCGCCCAGGTCGTCGTCAAGGAAGACATTGCCTGGCACATTGGCGACGACCTCCAGGGCTACCTCGTCAAGGACCGCGAGGAGGGCATGGACCTTGGCAGACCCCTCGTCCGCTACGCCCTCGTCACGGACAACGCGTCGGGCAAGGTGCAGTTCGTGCTGACGATGCACCACGCCCTGTACGACGGCTGGTGCATGCCCCTCATCGTCGACAAGGTCAACAAGGCCTTTGACGGAGAGAAGGTCCAGCGCCCGGCCGAGTTCAAGGACTTCATCAAGTACCTCGGCAGCATGGACCGCAGCGCCGCCGAGACATACTGGCGCGAACAGCTCCAGGGTGCCGCTGCCACTACGCAGTTCCCCGCGCTGCCGTACGAGGGCTACCAGACGCAGGCCGACTCTCTTCTGGAGGTCTACGTGCCCCTGAACGGCAGACCTGCCTCCAACACCACCGTCGCCACCGTGATTCGCGGTGCCTGGGCCTACGTGGCATCCCACTACGCCTCATCCAACGATGTCATCTTTGGCGAGACCCTCACCGGCCGCAACGCGCCCATCAGAGGATCCGATGAAATCGAGGGTCCCATGATCACGACCGTCCCCTTCCGCACCCAGGTCAACGCCGAGACGCTCGTCAGCGACTACCTCCAAGACATCCAAGACCAGACCATCCAACAGATCCCCTACGAGCACACTGGTCTCCAGCACATCCGCCGTCTCAGCCCGGATGCCCTCGAGGCCTGCGAGCTGAGAACCGGCCTCGTTCTGCACCCGAGCGCGGACGACTTTGACCAGGAAGAGTTCAATAAGTACCCCGCCAACCGCCTCGTCCCGGCTGGCGACGCGGAGGCCGCGGAGGAAGCTCTCAAGTTCAACACCTACGCCCTCATGCTCGTCTGCTCGACAGACCCCAAGGGCTTCTTGGTGATGGCCTCGTTCGACTCCAAGACTGTTCAGAAGCCTCTTATGGAGAAGGCACTCGCTCAGTTCTCTCAAGTGGCGCAGAAGCTTTGCCAGCTTACCGACACGCCACTTGGCGACATCGCGTACCTGACTGAGGAGGACAAGACCGAGGTCGCTCGCTTGAGCACCGAGAGCGTCAAGAGCGTTCAGAAGGAGTACCCGGAGGCCGAGGCGGTGTACATTGTTAACCCAACCGACTCTGCGCTCCTGGCACCTCTTGGAGTTGTTGGTGAATTGGTGGTCCTCAGCAAGTCCGACTTGTCTCTCTCCACGCTTGAGACCCCTTCGTGGGCCGAGAACAAGGAGGCTGGCAAATTCTACAAGACGGAGCGCCTCGCCAAGTTCAACGCGGACGGTTCTGTTGAAATTACCGGCAAGACGAGCGATCTGGTCCAAAAGGCCAGCAACGCCCCTAAGGCACCTACTAAGCGCATCTCTGCCACATCTGCCAAGCAGCGTCGTCTGCGAACTCTGTGGAGCCGTGTACTCAGGCTCCCTGAGAGCGACATTGGCCTCAACGACAGCTTCTTCCGTCTTGGTGGAGATTCCATCGGTGCCATGAAGCTTGTCTCCGAAGCCCGCTTGGCTGGCCTCACACTTACCGTCAACCAGGTCTTCACGAAGAGGACGCTGTACGACATGGCCAGCGTCCTGCAGGACTCTGAGCCCACTCAGGACTCTCAAGAGTCCCTGAAGCCTCTCGTTCCCTTTGAGCTGGTTGAGGACCTCGGCGATGCCCCGGCAGAGACTCTCCGCCCCCTGTTGGCCGACCCGACATGGAAGATTGTCGACGCCTTCCCCGCAAGACCGTTGCAGGAGGTCGCCGTCAAGGGCACTATTGAGATCCCTCGCTTCTCTGCTCGCTATGAGGCCATGTACTTTGAGAACGACGTTGACCGCCCCCGCCTCTTCCAGAGCTGTCAAGAGCTCGTCTCCCTCAACGAGGTCCTGAGATCAGTCTTTGTTAAGCACAATGGCGCTTGCCTGAGCGTCATCCTCGAAGACGTCAAGACCCCCGTCGTGGAGTACGAGATTGACAGTGACGTCGAGACTTTTGTCAAGGACCTCTGCAACATGGACGTCCAGACCCGGATGCCGCTTGGCTCCATCTTTGTCAAGTGGTTCTTCGTCCACAGCAGCAACGGCCAATCTGCCCTGGTATTCCGCGTCTCGCACGCTCAGTACGACGAAATTTGCTTGCCCATCATGCTCCACCAGCTGTCTGCCCTGCACGAGGGCAAGCCAGTTCCCAAGGCTCTTCCCTTCTCCTCCTTCGTCGGTCACGTCGTCAAGTCCAACATCCCCCAGAGTATCGACTACTGGAAGGAGCTCCTCCAGGGATCCTCCGTTAATGTTCTGAAGCCCGATACCCCCCTGACGGAGAGACAGCACTACGCCATCGACAGGACGTTCGACATCTCAACCCGCTCCAAGGACGTCACCATCGCCACCCTCCCCACCGCAGCCTGGGCCCTTACCCTCGCCCGTCTGCAGAGCACGCGCGACGTCACCTTTGGCGAAGTTGTCAGCGGTCGCAACATCGACTTCCCCAACGCCGACATGGTCGTCGGCCCCTGCTGGCAATACGTGCCCGTGCGCGTCAAGTTCGAGGACGACTGGACGGTCCTCGACCTCCTCAACCTCGTACAGAACCAGCACATTGCCAGCTCGGCGCACGAAGGCATCGGCCTGCCCGAGATCGCCAAGCTGTGCACCGACTGGCCCGCCTCGGTGGACTGGTTCGACACTGTGGTGCACCAGGACGTCGAGCACGTCGAGAGTCTCGGCTTCGAGACGGCGAGCAGCCGCATGGAGACGATTTACCCGCAGCAGGAGCCGCTTCGCGAGTGGAAGATCCAGGCGTTCCCCCAGGGCGACAAGCTGACGATTGAGATTGTCACCTTCGAGTCTTGGAAGGGTCATGCTGCCGAGCTTCTTGATAAGATTGAGGAGACGTTCAAGATTCTGCTTGGTAACCCCAGGTCGGTGTTGTTTGAGCAGCAGTAAGAGGAGAGATTTTGTACATACTGTACTAAAGACTACATAGAGGGGGACTAGTTTCGGGTGTGTTACCATTTTTTGTCTTTTATCTGATATCATTTGTTGTTTCGTTGATGTTGAAGATTCTCCGATTGGACGAGGGGCTTTGCAATTGGTTTGGAAAATGCTGTGAACGATTTCATGTTGTTTTGTTGCTCTTTGGAGTTTGGTTGTTTCAATACACACATCATACCATACCGTACCTTGCGACCCCTCCTCGCTGCTTCTCTGGTTCGCCCAACTTCCTTGCAAGTTGTATGCCGCCTGCTTGAGGCAACCCCAGACCAATCTGCATATGGCCGCTTCCAACAGCCTCACTTTCCTTACCTCACAGAAATAGGGTGTCAGTTCCTGTTCCTCACACAAATAGGGCGGGAGGTGCCTTGCTTTGCCGTCCTATCATCTTCTCGTCTCCAGGTTCGAACCTCCACCGCCCTTCAGACTCGTTGTCTTCTCGTTAAAGCAGCGAGAGACTGTCAGGAGGCTCTTCTCGGAGTGAGATAAGCAGGACGCTTTCCCCATCCTTCTATTCTCCTCGACCAACACTCATCCGCACCTCTACACCAGCATACAGCTCCCATCACAGCCTGATTTTCCCTCGCCGCTTCAACGCACCCCAGCAATCAACCAACGCCACAATGTCTGACAATGTCGCCTGGACCAACGATTTCGACAACTTTCTTGCCGAACTCGACACCGAACACAACGCCAATGACACCAGCTTCATGGATCTCCTTGATCCTACTGGTTACTACGACTTCGGCCACGTCGACGATGGCGCTCTTGGCGCTGCGAACCCCCTGGATCCGTGAGACTTTTTTTTTTACCACTTGCTAACAAAAAGGGTGTCAGTGTCATCAATTCGATCTGGCCGTGAGTTCCCCGCTCCATTCCCTGTGCCTCCTCTCCAAATAACACAGTCTTAGTGCAGATGAGATCATGCATCATTGCAGTCCGGATGACGGCAACGATTTGACATTGTCATTGGCCAGCGCTTCAGTCCAAAATGATTCGAAGCCCCTGGAGACAGCTTCTACTGCTTCAGTCGAGAGGACTGCGGCAAAAGCGCACCTGACTTGCGCAGAGTGCGGCGTGCATTTCGAGTACCCCTTGGCCCTGAAATACCATGCTATGTTGAACGGCCATGAGGCATTGTTGTACCCAGTCCAAGGGTGTTGTAAGGGATTCAGGACGCAGGCAGAGCGTGACGTTCATCAACGCCGGCGTCATCTTGAAGGCCACGAGCGCATTGAAATGGGCCATCCGTTCGCTTGTGTTGAGTGTTCGGTCGAGTTCAGGAGCAAGGCCAAGCTGCAGGAGCACGCCAACGAAGCACAACACAATCCCTTTGCTTGTTCCTGTGGCAAGAACTTCGCTCGACTTGATGTCCTCTACAGACATCTTGACTCTATGGGGACCGACCTGCCAAAATTCCCCTGCCAGTTCTGCAAGAGTCATCGCGGAGAGAACGGGTTTCGAAGAAGAGATCATCTCCTACAGCATGTGCGCGGCTACCACAAGTTCGAGGCTGAGGGAAAGATTGAAGACATCATGCCCAGCCGTCGTGGGAAGTATCAGATACCCCCAGTCTGCCACTTTGCGGATTGCCTGCACTACCGGGACGAAAACTTCAAAACCCTTAGTCGCGAAGAACAGAGTGTCCTGAAGCCGTTCGAATCCCAATCGGAATATACCAAACACATGAAGAATGCCCACGACTTCACAGCCTTCCCCTGTACAGTGAGAGGCTGTAGCAAGACTGGCGCAAAGGGTTATGCGAGGGAGAAAGATCTCATCAAACACAGACAGAAGGATCACCCTGAGGCACGGACATACGTTCCAGCGAGGCGAAATATCAGTATTCCTTGCCCAAAGTGTTTTAGAAGATACGGGCCAAATAGTGCACCATTCCACATTAACACTTGTCGTGGTTGATAGGCATTTTCTTGGGGATTGCACGCACTCGCACTTCCGTTTCGCGGCTGGAAGCGACGCCGGAAACGCGTCTGCTGACTTGGGGAGCTGAATTGAAGTTGAATGTACTCGTTACCTGCGAGAGGCTGATATCGGTTAGTATTTGATCGGGGGTTGCATTTTTTTTCTTGGTTTTTTTTTTGTCGTTTGATTCATCGTTCTCTTGCTCTTTGTTTTGGTTTTGAATGCTCGCTCTTAATGGAACGTATATATCGAATGAAATTCATCGTTGACTCAGACGTCTCTTGCAATGAGAGCCTCGACAGCGTCAAAACCTCCCTCCCTTCTACGTGAGCAGAATACTGAGTCTCGGCTGAAAGTCCGATCACAAGCCCTTGACCCATTCTTGATTGTGCTTGTATTGAACGTTCGGATTGTCAGGGTCAAGATAGTTCTACCATTCGCCGTGTTCTGTAAACATATTGCACTATTTGGGTATTGCAATCGAACAGTGTGGGAAACCCTCACCGTACCTTCATCAAATGAGGCTGTTCCCGGCCTGTTCAAGATACATCCATGTCCTGAACTCCCGAATCGATCGCCTCTAAAACCTTCTCAGCATATCGCCGCCCCGCGGGGCTGAGCATCATTGGATCATGATGAAAACCATCCCTCTCCCAGGGTAACGTCCTCGGCGCCGGATCCGCGGGATGTAAATCTCCAACCCGTTGCGGCATGCCCTTATACCGCTTGCCGTGATCATCAACCCAAGTAAGCAGCTCCGTTCGCGGATCCCTCGTCGGAGCATTGTAAAAGTCAATAGGCGACTCCCAGTCCGGATCACCCAGAATCAATCGCGCAATATCAGTACGGTCGTCCAGCAGCAGAGCCAGACGCGGCGTAGCAAGCTGTTCGTACCACCCTTCACCCAGATAATTCACAATCCCGGCAATCTCACGGTCGCCAATACCCTCGATCCACCACAGATTCTGCGTCGCCTTCATGAACATGAGATAATGAGCCAGAATAATAAGCGCGCGAGGCCTCTTTTCCCGCCCAAGCTCGACAAACCCCTTCGGAATGAAAGTGAACCACGTCACGACGCGTAGGGTCATGATGGGTCCAAACCCGTTGACGAGCTCGGCGTAGAGGGAGCCGAGGTACTTTAGCGTGTCGTAGTACGTCGAGATGTCGTCGTAGTCCGGGTCGCCGGGCTGGATAGAGGAGACCATGAAGAGGAGGTTATTGGGGATGTGCTTGGCGGCCTCATCGAGATTGATGGGCGGGCGCATAAAGAGCTCCGCGAGACCAGAGTCCCAGAGGGTCTGCGGCGTAGCCATGTCGATCATGAGGCCGATGCCGCGCCAGACCACCATCCAGTCGATGATGTAGAGGTCCTTTGTCCCCTCTTCGCGGAACATTTGCGACGATAAGGCGGTGAGCAGCAAGGACGTCGCGATGAGGGCGGGGAAGGTCTCCGGTTTGCCTTCCTCGATGGCCTTGCGGTATCCCTCGAAGGCGCGGGCGCGGTAGCGGAGGGCGCGGGAGGGGGCGATGTCTTGTTTGAGGTGCTGGAGCTGGAGGGCCGAGGTGCCGAGGAGGCAGTCCATGAGGAAGGGGCTCTGGAAGGCGTGGCTCGGGATCTTGACTTTGAGGATGTCGTCGATGCGCTTCACCCTGCCGGCCTGCGTGGCGAAGGATGTGAAGGTGTTTGTGGTGTAGAACCAGAGGAGCTTCATGTCGATGGCGTCCCTGTCGCCGGCGGGGATGTAGAGCGGTTCTTTGATGACGAGGGCGTTGGCGTCGTCGTCGTCGCCGCCGGCGGCCGCATGGTGGCTGTTGCGGCGGTGCTGCGGCGGCGTGTGAGACCGCGAGCGGGCCGGGGAGAAGGGCCCGGCGGAGGAGCCTGATGGCGATCCCGGTGGGCGGTGGTCGGAGTGGGAGTGGGACGGTCCGGGGTAGTTGCAATTGGCCTTGCGGAGCACGCAGTTACGACATGTTGGACGAGCTTCGTCGCACTTCACCTTGCGCGTCTTGCAGTTCTTACATCCCGTCCGGGACTTCTTGTGGGGCCGTTTTGAGTGGTATGGTTTATCCTCGATGTGATTTGTTGAGGTTCCTGCGGCGGCGTCCGCTGAGTCTGACTGTCCGGAGGATGAGAGGATGGTCATCGTGTGTGTGTGATTGTGTCCTTGACGGGGCCCCCCAAGGCCACCCGACTCTCGTCTCAATGGTGAATCTGAACCAAGTGGCTGCCCTTCAGTCTTACGGCGTCCGTCAGGATTCGGGATGAGAGGGAAGGATGGCTACGGGGTGGAGTGAGATGAGGTGGAGGTTGTTGGGGTGAGATGAATGGCGAGTGGGGAAGATGGGAGGGAGAGAAAGAGAAGCTTCGCGGTAGTGGCAACGAGGTGAGAGGTACGTCGTTAGGAAATTCTCAAGTGTGTGTGAAGTCGGGACGCTAGGTAGAAGGGGTTGAGTTGGTGATGCTCGGACCTCTACTTTTTTAGGGATGATGTCCAACGGCCGGACGGGGGAAGTAGAGATGTCGTCGGGGTTGAAACAGAGTTCCGTGGGCGGGTGACGCTGCTGACGGAATGAGACGCCTAGTTATCGGATGAAGCTTTAAAACACAGTCCCCCTTCGCACTGATTAGTCGGCCCGCTAGCTTCAAGTTTGTCTCTTTTTTGCCCCCAGGGGTTAGGTAGGTGGTTGGTTCCGTTGGTTCTAATATGCACATGCCGACTTGAGTTGTGTCGGGTTAAGTGTGTGTGAGGCCTCACGAACAAACGAATCTCATGCTGCTGCCTTCCCAGGTGTGTTATTACCTTCGTTATCAAAGCCACAGATGGAGAGATCATTGACCCCACACTGAGCTGACGAGCTCCCTACCTGACTCTCATCTGACGGATGTCTAGCGCTTTTCCCCGTTAGGCGGCACGAATCCTTCGAAGGTGGCGGCATGCGGGTTTTAATGAGACGGGCTAATAGAAGCCGGAGAAGCTCAACCTCACAAGTGGGAGAGAAACGAACGCGCCGCAACAGTACATGGTGTGTATGTTCCATGCCGTTGACGTACCCAAACTGCGCCGCGAGGGCCACGAAGCATGTGCAGCGGCAGCAAAAAGAGAAAAAGTACGGATAAGAGGCTTGCGCAAGCCTCTTAGAACCCGGCAACGCACACAAGTTTGTTCATTCCAAGGGTCAGAAAGAAGGGTACTGTGTATCCGTAAAAGCACTGCGCCTCCCGCAGTACCCTTCTCCCTGCTGTCAACCCTCCGTGGGTTGCCCTTTTGGGCGCTGGACTGGGTTTGGATACGGACATGTTTGTTTGACCTTTGGGGAACGTGGACATTTGACACTTGGCGCACAGTTCCGGGTGAGTGAAGGAGGGGGCTAGCCAGAAAGACACACAGAGAGAGTTGTGACTTGAGAAGTTACCGGTACTGTGAGCTGCGAGCTGTGAGGCCGCACTGCCGCAGACCAGCTAAAACTGAGTGTGGTCAAGTCTCGAGAAGTGGAGCTGCGCCCGGCACAGGGCGCCTGGGTCCCAACGCACGCGGGCCATTTTGGTCCCCTGCGCCCGCCGTAAGAGGGGCCCGAGATGGGCCGATGCTCCGGTCACATGATTTCGCGTCTCAACGGCTTGCAGGTCCTTTCCTCCCCATGTACTCCGTACCTTCGTACGCGACACGGCGGTCTCTGGTTTCCGGCCCGTTTCCCCGGTTTTCTCCTCCGGGTGACGAACGCTATTTTCGACTTGATACTGACTAAAAGGCTCGAACGCCAGAGTAATTGACCCAATTGACATGACGTCTCTCTTCCAGCTCCCCGAGGAGCTCCTCCTATCCCCCTTATTTGAGCGTTTCCCCTGCCGCGAACGTCAGATCCGGTCTTTAGCTACTCTTCTCCATGTGAGTCGCCAATCTTTTGCTTGACTCTATGTGAAGGCCAGAAATTGACCTCGACACTTCAGCCCGCCGCCGCACCCTGCCGGAACCTCATCGTCTACGGGACCGAAGCCACCGGAAAGTCGGCCATCATCGAGTCTCTCCTGCAGAGGCTCTCCAAGCCCCTCGACGAAGAACCGGAAGCCGACCCCAAAACCTCTCTCAGCTTCGCCATCGTCAACTCTATACAATGTATCACCGGCCGGCATTTATTCGAGCGGACAATCGCTGCCGTGGTGGACGCGATACAATGGGAGGCTCCGCCCAAGAAGTGCGAGACGTTAGCTCAATTGATGGTTGAGCTGTGCAAGATGCTAAAGTACACACAACGACCCGACGGCTGGCGCCTCGTGCTCGTCTTTGACGCAATTGACCGTCAGAGAGACGCTCCCGCAACTCTCCTCCCAGCATTAGCACGGCTATCCGAAGTGGTGAGTGATCAAGCACCTCGCATGCGCTCAACTATGGCATACTGACAAGCTGCCGTTCCATAGATACCATGTCTGACCTGCGTCTTCATCGTCACCGCCCCTCCCCCCTCCAGCCTCCGCATCTCCTTCGTACCGCACATCCAATTCCCAAACTACACCAAGCAGGAATTCATAAAAATCATCTCGGCGTCCCCGCCGCCGCCGACCCCGACCACGACGCAGGACGACACAAACTTCCTCTGGACCCGCTTCGTCGGCGCCGTCTGCGACGCCCTCACGACGTCGGCGTCCCGCACCCTACCCTCGTGCCGCCACAGCTGCGACGCCCTCTGGCCGCGCTTCACGGCGCCCATCCTGGCGCGCACCCACGGCCCGCGCGAGTTCTCCAAGCTCCTCATCGCCTCGCGCGTGCATTTTCAGGACGAGAGCCTCCTGAACCCGAGTATCGTCTCCATCAAGCTCGGCAATTCTTCTTCGACGGTGTCTGTGACGACAACGACAAAGACGAATGGCCATACACCAGTGGGCACGCCCTCGAAGCACGCAACAGCATCAGCTCAATCAGCGGCGGCACTGATGAGCACCGCCACCGCCGACCTAACGACCCTACTACCGACAACCACCCGCCTCCTCCTCCTCG